AAGGAAATTCGATCCATAACCATGAGTCACTCATCACACCAGTTCATTCATTTTCGGCATAGATTTTATACATTAATTAATCATAATTCTATCACAATCCTATGTAATGTAACATCTTTTTTCTTAATACTGTCGATGAGACTTATCTGATAATCTAATATGAACTATTGATTCATATTAAAGTGGACCCAAAACCATGATCTAAGAACCCTATTCCCAAAAGGGTTTCTAATAATGATCGCTGAACATGGTGTGGGGTTACGGATCACCAAAATGAAAAGGCGGGATACACAGATCGCTTCTCAAATAACTTTGACGTGAACTGGTGNTTGGTGTGGGGGTACGGATCACCAAAATGAAAAGGCGGGAAACACAGATCGCGTCTCAAAAAACTTTGTCGTGAACTGGTGAATTGATGGAGCCCAACAATATGTATGGATGTGCTGTTGAAACTTGAATGATATAGATAACGTGTTGCATTCACTTGGGCAGAAACATCAGTTTTTAAAGGGAGTATTCATATTTTGGTTGAGCGGCTCGGTTCGTCCAGTTTAACACTCCTAGAATTTACACTTAAAGCTTGGAAATTCACTCATTGAAATTATTTTTTCTAGTTTGTGTTGCCTCCTTAGATTAGTAGGTCAGGGCAGGGACAGTCACATCTCTTTCAGGATAGTCTAATTCAAATTGGGTTGGGGAGTCGGATCTCCAGGCCAGATTAGTCCATATTTATTAGTTTTAACTTTAGTGAAAGTTTGGTCTTTGGTGGGCTCATAATAAAGAAAAAAATATGTAGTCTAGGGATGCCAAATTTGCAAGAAGAATATTTTAAATGTACACTCAAAATTTGACATTATTTTTGACACTCCATTATTTTCAAAAAAATTGTTGACGGAAAAGTATGTGTTTTTTAAAACTATCCAATATGATGTTGTCACGTGGCATAATGTAGAGAATGATATAAAAAATAGTACATGTAGCATGATTGAATTTGCAACATCAAGCGATGGGAAGTATTGAAACTGCATAATTATCCTCTCAGTCTAAAGGTTAATTTAGGGGTAATTAGCAAATAACGTCATTACCTTTCATTATTTGGCATTTTCATCTTTATTTGCACTTTCAATGAGCGAAAGGTTATTTTCATTCATTATCTCAATTAAAAATCATGAAATGACGAATATACCCTTCTGTTTAAATAAAACAAAAGAAAAAGAAGTAACTAATTGCAATCATAGTCCCAATTTTTTTTAAAAAAGTGCAAAAAGTCCTAAATAAATTATTAAAAAGATAATTAGCACATAATATCTCTACCTTTCACTATTATTGTGAAAACCGTCAATACTTTTTATTTTTTAACATTTTCACCATGAATTACATATTTGATTGTGCAAACCATCATTTCTATCCATTTTCATCCAATTTCTCAATAAAAAACTATGAAATGATGAATATATCCTCATATTTAAATAAAAAAATAAAGAATTAATTGCAACCACAGTTAATTTAAAAAAAAAAAGGTGCAAATGAATCCGAAATAAATTATTAAAAAAATGAGAAATTAATCTTTTTTAAAAGTACAAACGAGTTCCAAATTATTATTAAAAAATAAAAAAAATTAATTTTTTATTTAAATAGAAGAGTATATTCGTCATTTCACAACATTTTATTGAGAAATTGGATGAAAATGGATAGAAATGGTTGTTTGCGCAATCAATTGTGTAATTAAGGGTGAAAATGCCAAAAAAAATAAAAAGTAGGGATTTTTTCACAATAATAGTCAAAGATAGGGACATTATGTGCTAATTACCATTTTAATAATTTATTTGAGACTCATTTGCACTGTTTTTTAAAATTTTGTACTATGATAGTAATTAGTTATTTTCTTTTCTTTTTGTTTTATGTATATAAAAGGGTATATTCGTCATTTCATAGTTTTTAATTGAAAAAATGGATGAAAATAACCTTTGGGCAATGAAATGTGGGAATAAGAGTGAAAATATCAAAAAATGAAAGATAAGAACGTTTTCCACAGTAATA